TCATTTTAGTGTTTGAAAACCAGAGTAAAATCAGCTCTTTTAGTGGAAATCATAGCTGTTTCTGTTGGGAAAAGGCAGAAATTTGGAGTTTAAATTTGAGCATTACAGGTTTCTTTTGATTTCTCTTAGTGATTTATCTGATTATCAAATTATTTTTCTGGGATTCTTTCAGTTTCTGGTGTAAAAACGGATGTCTTTCTGTTATTTTAGTGTAAAATCAGCTCCTGTTTTCAGAGGATTCTTCATCAAACTGAGCAGTGACACACTTTAAGCCTCATTTTGTCTGTTTTTGGTCTGAAATAAACTTATTTCCACTTTTTCTGGAGGAACTCTGAGTTCTCGGGACTCTAGTTTGAAAACAAGAGTGAAATCAGCTCTTTTAGCAAAAAATATTAACTGATTGTGGAGGAAAAAGGCAGAAAATTGGAGTTTAAATTTGAGCTATTCTGATATTATTGTGTTTATTTCAGTAATTTATCTAATTATCAAATTGATTTGTGGGATTATTTCATCTTCTGGTGTAAAAACTGAGATCTTTCCATCATTATTCCATCTTTAAGCCTCATTTTGTCCTCTCAGGTTAAACCGAATTTTTAATCTGAAATAAACCCGTTTCCAACAACAACGTATATATTCCACTTATTTCTGTAATATCTGATATATTAGAGCTCATTTAGTGGAACTCAAAGCTGCTTCTGGAAGAAAAAGGCAGAAATCTTTAGTTTAAATGTGAGATATTCTGATTTATTTTAATTTCTTTTAGTAATTTATCTGATTATCAAATTAATTTGTGGGATTATTTCAGCTTCTTGTGGAAAAAAAAGGAATTTTTTGTGGAAAATAAGCTCATATTTATTAATATCTGCTGGAACAGGGGAAATCAGAGCGGATTCTGGAGGAAAAAAGCAGAAATTTAGAGTTTAAATTTGAAAACTCTGGGGTTTTCCATCTTTCCCACTGTCCCTGAACGCCTCTTCCCTCCTCCGTCCTTCATCAGACCTCCAGATCAGTAAAAAAACAATTTTTTTCCATTTCTGGAAGATTTAAACTAACTTTACAGCTCTTTAAAACCTGAAACTAACTGGTCTCCATCCATCCATTTGTCCGTTTATCTTTTATCCTTTTAATTTTCCTAAATGTTCCTTTGATTTCCACTTTAGGGTCTTAAATAAAACCAGATTAATCCACCTGAGCAGATCTTTTAAAGGTAATTCTTCCCAAAAGACGGATAACTGGACAATCTGTTATCCTCTAAT